ACAGACACTGTGGAGTAGCGAGAGTTAGAGATGTAACCAGATAGAGGAGAATAAGAGATAAAAGAGGAGAGTGAGATATTAAACTTTTATAGTACGTAAAACTCTTGTTTTCTTCTTTTCTTCTCCCCCCAGTTGGTGAGTAGTGATTGATGCCTTATGTAATTGCAACACTATCGACGAACTTGTTAAGAATGACGGAAGGAGAGTAAAGAGAGGCTCACCTCGTCGTAGTCGTTGTCAGGAGAGTCTGTAGCCAAGGACCCGCCTCCAGTAGGGGGTTTTCGGCCCAAGGAGGGTCAAAACAACACAGAACACCAACAAGATGGCCCCCTATAGGGGATGGGGCCTCCTCCGGCGCTCCAGTGATCAACCACCTCCAGGAGTCAGTCTTTGTGTCCTGGTGACAGACAAGACAAGGGGGTAAAGAGTAACAAAAGACACTTTCAAATCCAGTGTAACTGGTGAACGAAATGTCCCTGTATTATAATAAAACAGTCTTTTGCGGTATCGTAAAACACCTGAATAGTTGGTAAAACCACTAAACTTGTGTTTCTGCTCACCAAAATTACCTATGGTATTCTTCTAAAAAATGTCAATATACGACACACACTAACCACACAACAATAACCATCCCCCCCGAACCCTCCCCCCCCCCCCCGTGGCAAACGAGCCATCGGTCCAGTCGGTTCTCTCCTCGCCCACTCCTCCCCCCGTCTGCGAGATACGGGAGTACATCAAACACGTCCGTGCAGGCTCGTACAGGCTCACCGGCCACTTCTCCTCGCACATCCGACCGGAACGGTTCCCCTCCTTGTACTCCCGCGCGCATACAGCCGACTCTCGTGGTTACCACGGATAGTCAAAAAGACACCCGGTTGGGGTGGCACCTTCAGCGCCAGAGGAGGACGCGATTACCTCACACGAGAAACAGCCTCGATCCACGTAGTCGCCGAGAAGAGGTAGTACTTTGCCTGGAGGCGTCATCGTTAATCTCAACAGTCGACGTCTCCAACATCCTCTTCCTCCCTGGACGAGGAAGGATCAGGGGCAGAGCCGAGTAGGTGCAGTGACTCTCTCGTTATCTCCCCCATGGTTTGAGGTGGCGGTCAGAGGTCTGCGAGCATCCCCATGAGCCTGGATGTGAGCTCCACCATCTTCGACTCACCCGGGGCAGAACCCTCGCTGGACCACAGTTGGCTCTGCTTCTGTGACCCTTGGGCACCAGTGAGGCTCTGGGTCAGCCTGTGAGGGGAGAGGAGGAGGAGGAGGAGGAGGGAGATAGTTTGTTAGCACGTGAGAAAAGAGAAGACATGAAATGACGTAGAGACTCTCTGGGACATATTGCAACAAATGTGCAATTCATATTTGGACAAAGAGATAAGGTAGCCGTGAAAGGCAAGAGAGGTGAGGAGAGAGAGAGAGAGAAAACAGAGAAGGCGAGAGGAGAAGAGGAGAGGGAGAGAGAGAGGGGGATTACCTCAGCTTGCATGGCCACACCATATCCTCTCCTCTGGTGTGCTCTAGAACACTCAGCACATCACAGCACGTCCGTGGATGTCTCCCACCACCTGTCAACCACAACACATCACCCGTTTTGGTGTGTGTTGTTTGTGTTTACCACAAACTGTGCCCGAGAGATGTAGCATGTTTCCTCCCGTCCCCAGCTGGCGAGCCCTCTCTACAAGAGCCGTCATCACCACGCTGTCCAGTGACCTTGGGTTGCTGAGGTGAGGTCATGTGATAGTCATGTGACAGGAACCAGATGTCATGTGATGCAGTGTATTACCTGTACAGATGCGAGAAGCTGAGCGTCCCTGCTCCACTGTAGTCAGGTGGTGGTCGTTGAAGAAAATCCCCGAGAGTGGCCAGCACCTCCCTTGCCTTATATTTCTAGCTTATCCCTCTAAATGCACAGTAATGCAAAACACCATTATGGACTACATACAGGCTTGCTTTGGTTTTCATCTGTGCTATAGGTATGCCCTTTTGATAATAGAGAGAAGGTGAGAGAGAGAAGATATCAGTTGAACACACGCAGTGACAGTATTTCTACATCGGCCAGGAATTAGGCGGCACACAGCCTATCATACTTGCTTGCTCGCTACTCACATGGGCAAACAGAGAGAGAAGTGAGAGAGGAGGAAGAACAGCAATGAGAGCTAATACTTCTCAGGTATCCTGTATCAGAGGTCAGGGATTAGGAGGGGTTATCAGCTGCCTTATAGTCCAATCTCTTATGCCTGGACTGCCAGTCCAGCCAATGTCCAGAAAGGACACATTGTAAGCCACTGCCCACTCAACTGCACACCACCACAAACAATCCACACACACACACAGACACATCCGTCTCCAACAACCACTCATAGCTGGCCATGGCGTAGGGGGACAATAAACTCTCATTACTGGCTGTCTGGGACCTACACACAGGGCGGCATTCCTTCCTCCTACAGCTACATGTGTACTCAATGGCGCGCTACACGACGCGGTACACGGCGTTGATCCGACGCAGCATGCTAGGCCAGAAAGAAGAAGGCCAGATGCAGTGTTTCACCAGCCATGTCGGTATAATAGAGTCAGACGCGGGTGTCTACATACTGTGTGACATCGACTTGCTCTCTACACCACGAGAGAGAGAAGGAAGGGAGAAGAGAGAGAAATGGAGAGATAGCGCAGAGATGGGCAGAGAGTGAGGTCAGTAGTACAGCGACGAGCCCAGTACAGACGAGCCCCTAGCGTCAGAAGACACCGTACAGGTATATATCCCGTATCAGTATCCCGGGCCGAACACTCGCACTATCAGCTCACGTCTATGCGCAGTCTCCGCTACTGTCCCAGCGGCGCCCGTCCGCCGCTCGAACAACGCGAGAGTCGAGGCGCCAGCGACCGCTGCCCGCAGCCCGCCCCAAGCGCCGCGCTCACCGCTCCTGACAATCCCTACTCCACAAACCGCACATGAGCGACACAGCCCAAGCGGGGTCAACTCATCCGAAACCCACCCTTCCACACCCGAAACACAGCTGTGCGTCTTCCGTACCACCGACACCATGCCCGAAGCCTGGGCGTGGACCTCCCGCTAGGCGGCCCCAAAGAACGCACGCGCACAGCACACGCACCCGCCAAACCACTCGATAGCACGCAAACACACTCCGTCGCACCGACACACCGATCCCGCACGTGGCATCAAGATGTCCCGCCGACGACGAGTCCAGTGTTTTACGACGTTCTCTCCCTACAGCTGGTGGTGGCCGGATCGAGGTGGAAGACGAGGATTAAACTATATGGTTAGTGTTCTACGAGGGAGGTTGGGGGGACTTTTTATTTAGTCCTTGGTGAGCGTTGGGGATTGGTAGGTTTTGGTCGCAGATTTTTTTGTGTTTTTTTTTCTTTAGGTTTTTTTTTTATTCATTCGTTCACCCTGTCCAATGGGATCCACTGCCCAGGGATTATGTCGCTACAGAACAAGTGGAAGATCAGCCTCGAGCTGCGCCTTTCTTCCTCAGCGGCATCATGCAAGGAGCGGTGTAGCAGAGTCCTGCTGAAACTTCCACGTCACAGCCTCTACCCCATGTCTCTACTACGCTAAGATTACACATACATCCAAAGGCACTGCCAAACCCCAGATATAGCGCACAGTGCTCTATTCTTCCGCGCCCTGTCTTTTTCCCAGCGGTCTAGCCCACAGATACTCTCCCTCAACCACCCAACCCCTTACTGCACGCCAGCTCCCCCGGTCCCCCTTGCCCCTTCCCTCTCCCTGTTCCTCTTTGCTCCCGCCCCCCGGCCACCCGGTGTGGTGCCTGCCCCGGCTCGCGCTACCCTGGGGCCCTCCTTGCGGCGGACTGGCCGGTCTTTCGCTTCTCTCCCCCGCCCCCCCCCCCGGTCTGGTTCCTCCCCTGCCCCCCGCTCCCCCTCCCCGTCCCTGTGCCGTGGACCCCTCTGTTGGCTGTCCGGCCGTCGTCTCTTGTTGTGTGCCGGGGGTTTGCCCCCTGGGGGTGTCCCCCGCCCCCGTGCTTGCGGGTGTCGGCCCCCGCCCCCCCCCCCCACCCCCCCCCCCGAGCCCCCCGTTGTCGGCCATCCCCACTCCTGGGGTAACCACCGCAGGCCGTTCTCCCCCATAGCAGAAGACCGGTGACCATTAACGCCGCCAACTGGTGGGCGTAATCTGTTGGGTGTCCTTGGGGCGGGTGTGCCCCTTTGTGGGGGTGTGCCCCCCCGTATCTGCCCCCCCCCCCTTGTGAGGGTGTGCAATCTGTGAGGGTGTGAGGGGGTTGTGGGTGTCTTATCCAGGAAGGATATATAGGAGGAGCGGGAGTCTGAGGGAACCCTGCAAAGCAGCAGGGATCGATCAGGAGATGACGGGGACAATTCTGATTGGTCAGATTGACAGCCGGAGGTGAAGGAAAGAGCTGAAGAGGTACCACACAAGAGGCTCTGGATCTGGGGGTGGGTGGGTGGGGTTGACCACGCCCAGTGGGTGTGACTAAAATTACCTAATCTCATTGACTGCAGGATTCGGAAGCTCCGTTCATAGTGGGTTCAGTTGATGGGAAGCCACAGAGCAGAGCGGGTCTTTGTGGGTGACATTGACAGATTTGAGCTTATTGGCACAACATTCGCGTACGGTTTGGCCAGAAGAATTAATCGTGCCTTAAATTTCCCAAAATACGCAGCTTCAATTGTCGTTGATGAGTTAAAATTGGCTCTCTGACTCTGACATATGTCCATTGCGTGCAGGTGAAAAGTGGGAGGCCACTATTAGACTAGCAGCAAAGATTAACAGTGTAATGTATGCTGATGTACTTCAGCGACGCAGTTTATCGTAAATTATACAAAAAGTTGAAGATTAGCGAAGTGAGAGTGAAAACATGTTTCAGAGTTACCTCATGTGTGTGATGATCGTGAGGGAAACCCCCTCCCCTTCCTCTTCTTCCTCTCCACTCACCACCAAGCTCACTGTACCCCCAATCTCCTCCCCTCCTCCCTCCACCTCCTCCCCCACTCTCCTCCTCATCTCCCCACTCATCCTCCTCCTCGGGATGGACTGTGGACATGAAGGAACGGAATGCAGACACGAAACTCTCGACTGGTAAACGAATGGATTTCAGATGACCGCAGTTGCCCTGGCAACCAGGTTCAGCGACTCAAAAATCTGTTGTCACATGACAGTCATGTGACATTATTTCAATGTGGAACCCACAGAACCCACAGACCTGTACTACAGCTCCAGCTGTAGATCTTCCATCCCTTGTCTCTGAGGAAAGTCAGACACCCATACCGTCATGATTTCAGACCCCCATTCCCCATACCATAGAGAGGGCCAGGTGTACCTCAGAGGCATATACTAGTCATTGTCATCAGCATGGGTCAGTAGACCTGTCTGTGTATATATATATACCAGGGGAGAGAAGACATTCTTCAACTGGCCCCACTGGCTGCAATAGTGATGTGATTATAAAAACCACTGACCCTTCACTGGTGCTGTAATGTTCACATTATGCTTCACCATCACACACTATTTAGTAACTGATGACTTTAGCTGTAGTTCAGGAACTAGATGATAGTCAGAGAGAGGAGCAAAGTCCGGTAGCTCCTCTTCCGCTGAACAGTCTTCACTGTCATACTATAGCCATGCAAAACAACGGCAGTTGGAAGGTATTACCCACACTCTCACTCTTAAGTAAAGTTAGTTCTCACATGAAGGCGGACAACCAGAGGTTGACTCCAAGTTCCTGCCACGTGAGGTCACATGATGTATCAGAGGTGAGGGAGGAAGAGGCAGTCCCCGGGCCATACCACCGCACGGTGCCATGGAACAGAGACCAGACCAGGATGACTCAGCAGGTCGACTCTAGCCAACACAAGTCAATTAGTTCTCTCTCTCTCTCCTTTGTCACACCATCCAAACAGTGTACACACTGGCCAACTGAGCACATGCAGATGCCCACCCAGCCTGGAGAAAACGACTCACTTGTCAACGTCGATATTGTAGAAGCCCTGAGTCTTGTGCTCCGGTCCCACGATGTCGATATAGCTGGGCTCGATCATCACAAACTCCTTCACTCCACTCACCAGGCAGTGGAGATTGTCAAATGCATCTGTATGCAGCACGCTCTTTGTTCCTCCATTGCTGAACCTGTTGGAGCGACATCACATCATGGAGCCCAATTCACTGACCCTTCACAAAGTATCCATTATGCATGAATGAAAGGCCAGGTGCACTCATACCTTCACTGGACTCTTGATTGAAGATTACAAGTTTGATAAGGGAGGGGTAATTGGGAAGTGAAAGAGAGGTGATAGAGAGATGATGTTTCTATTCAACCTTCTATCTATAGTCAACGATTGTGGATTGGGGCTGTTCCCCTAATTCTGGGCTAAATTGAGAGTCAGACCCACATTGTGTGATTGTTATACCAAGCATAAGAGAAGATGAGGTTCTGAGTGAATCCTCCACAGAGCAAGAGCTGTGGCAGAAGCCACTCCCGCTGCATGGCAGGGGTCAAAGGTGACACCATGTAGATATCCTCTCCCTCATACCTCTGTAGAAAGAAAAGCTTTCACAATTTTCAAGGAGCTCAGAGTCAGGTTATTTTGTGTGTGTGTGTGTATTACCCCAACTGAAACCATCACAATAAACTGAGAGGTTTGGAGACTCACGTCGAGATAGTCGGCCATGTTGGTCAGGAATCCAGTCTCAGACCTGTTCTCCTTCTTCTTGTGCTCCACATTCACCTCCTCACCCCCAAACCTCTCCCTCAGGTACCTGCACACACAGAACACGCAGCTCCCTCTCTCCTTCGCTACCGTTCTTACGACTAGCAGCATCTACCCCATCCCTGTATATATCTACATTGTGATGAGTATGGCGACCAGGCTACTCACTCACTGGTCGTCTCCCCAGGTCTTCAGGAGCCGAGTGGAGTTCAGAATCCCCTCCAGAATAACCGGAGTCGACGACTCCACGTATTTGTCGTGGAATTCCCGCGGTTTCGGGACGGTGGTGATTCTGGGGACCAACTGCGGCTCCATGTGGGATCCGAGAGGCAGCATGTGCCCCGGAGGAGGCTCGCTCCCTCTGCAAATCCACAGAACTCCGCACAAAAGCAGCCACAGCCTCGCCATGTTGATGCAGGGTGGTCGGAGGCGTGGCTCGGGTCAGAGGTCAAACGTTTTCTAATTTAGCGACGTTCTAGAAATTGCACATTAATTAGAGCTGTCGCGTCGATCTCTTCATTGAATGTTGGAAGCTATGGGGAACGAAGTGAGTGCAACGGAAGGAGAGAGTGAGGAGAAGGAAGAAGAGGACGAGTGGACGAGCAGGGAGGAGGACGAGGTGTCTGGCGGGCTCTGGTCTCTCTCACACGAAGTGGAAGACGGGCAGCAGGTGTGTGTGCTCACGTGCGCCGCCACCGGCTCCTCTCAGGCGCAGCTCTGCCAGTCTGGAGCAGAGGTGAGCCGACTCTACACCGTACGAAATCCTAGTGACGTAGCTATGACGTAATCCAGCACCTACGGCTGTTGCGTCACCCGAGCATCGTCAAGTTTCTGAGCTACGATCCATCTCTCAGTCCTCTGGTCATGGTGACGGAGGCTGTGCTGCCTGTGTGGGGTGTGGTGAGTGGGATGTGTGAGGAGGGGATGGTGACGGGGTGGAGGGACATTGCCAAGGGACTGGCTTTCCTTCACGACAAGGTACATAAGTTCTCCAAGTGGTTTGTTGGGTTTGGATCACCTGTCTCTCCCTCACTCTGCAGGCCAAGTTGTCCCACAACAGTCTGTGCTGTGAGTGTGTGTTTGTCTGTGCCAACACTAGCCACTGGAAGATTGGTGGGTTTGAGGCTGCAGCTCACCACTCCAAAATCAACCACACGGTACGTCTCCAGACCCCACTGATAGTTCACTCTTCTACTGTCTCTCTGTCTCTGCAGTTTATTGAGACCATTGCAGCCATCAGACCACCTGATACTGTCCCTCCTGAAGACACAGTAGGTGACAATTTCAGTTAACCCACTTGCAACCTCTCCCTCTCTCCTCTCCCTCTCTCCTCTCCCTCTCTCCTCTCCCTCAGAACCCTACTCCAGAGTCAACTCCAACTGTTCCGTGTCACTCTAGAGATGTGTGGGCCTTGGGTCAGTTCATGTTGTCAGTGGCAGAGGAGGCTCAACTCAGCAGTGAGTACACTACTGGAACCCCTCTCTAAGGACACCCCTGTAATAACGACACCTCTCTAATAAGACATTTTCTTTTCCCAAGAACAACTCTCGTGTGATAGTTTACACCTGAAAAATGGACACTTTCTTCTGTCCCGTTGGTGTCTGGATTAGAGGGGTTCCTCTAAACCATAGAGACCGAGGCTATTGGGAATTTCTCTATGCATTCCCAGGTGTAATAAAGGACATCGACGTACACATTAATCCAGCAGCAGAATGATAAATATTGATCCCAATGGATGAGCCTGTGTAAGCCAAACAAGATTCTCCGACGATGGTTCTCTAT